ATCCACCTATTAGCAGGTAGACGATAGTGGCACGAAAACTACATAAGGGTTTCCAAAGTTATGCCCTCGATCGGATAATGGATGAGGTCGAGAACCCCTTCAATAACCCATTTTTTGTTTGCAGAGAAGATCTAGAAGGACGAACAGAGATTATATGTCTCGAAAGGTTGTAATGTTGTCACAAACCACTGCACTTGGAACAATGGGTAAAGACGTTTTCGAACGTCAGCATCGGGACCATTAAGACAAAAAAGGGCACTGAAGTGTGTCCAGGTGTGTCGTCCCGATTAGATGTCCTGACGACGAAGAAGTGATACACAGGATGCAGTCGAGTGGATGTGATATAGGGATTACAGGTTGAAATGAAGCAGAAGTGATGCAAGATAATGACCCGGGCAAGGACAGATATTACTATCCACTAAGATAAAGAATGAGTAAGGTATAATGAGGATGACGACGACTGCACAATGTCATCCCGTGTCACCCACCCCCCCCCCCCAGTCGCCCTTCATGTACAGCGGCAGCGCGCCCAAGAGGAAAGAACACCCTTTGGGATAGGAGAAAACAAGTCGAGATAGACTCGACAACGAAAAACATTTTTTTTTAAATAAAAAAATGAAGACGACGGAGGGAGTCTAGAAAGTAAGAGAGGTTGAAAACAGGCGCGGATCCAGGATTTCTTAGGGGAGGGGGCCCAACTTTTTTTTTTTGCTCCCGAAAATTTGAAAATCGCGCCGGCCGAAAAGTCGCTCAGTGTGGGGGGGGGGGGGGGGGGGGGGTAGTGAGCACAATTTTTTTTTGGGTCCTCGAAAATTTAAAAATTTGCACCCAACCCCCCCCCCCCAAAAAAAAGGTAAAAATCACGTGTTTTTACATGATTTTTTTTCTCAAGGGGGGAGGGGGCGGGCCCCCGGACCCCCCCCTGGATCCGCCACTGGTTGATAAAGAGGGAGAGAGGGGGCAGTTAAGTTAGAGATGCCAGAGTTTGTGGAGAGGGAGACAGGGGGATAGGGACAATTCATATTGAGATGGGAGGAAGGAAAATAAAAAAGCAAAGTAATTAATTTGAAAGAAATGAATCACAATTAATGTTCTTCTTTTTGGCTATATCTTCAACGAGATACTACAATGTGACAAAGTATATGCAGTTATCTTATTAATGGTTTATTTATTCAAAGAAATCTCTTTGCAGCCCAAAGGCTGAATTGCACGATCTTTAAAACAATTAAGTGCAACAACAACAAAAAAACACTGTAAAAAGCACGACACAAAATAATAACTGCATACAAAATTAGTAACATATTCAATAATTATTCTTTTACATTTTAAACCGAAATAGCTCGACTTATTATTAGATAGTATACAGGCACATGAATTAACGAATGATCATATTGAGAGAGCGAGAGTGAGAGAGAATCAAGAAGGGAAATGGGAAAAGGTGGGGTCAGAGAGAAGGTGGAGAGAGAAAGAGGAAGATATAGAAAGGGAGAGGGAAAATAGATGAAGATAGAGATAGAGAGGAGTAAGTTTGAGAAAGAGAGGGGAGAGAGAGAGGAAGATAGAGAAAGAGAGACAAAGAGATAGGAAGAGAGAGGGGGAGAGAGAAAGAGAGAGAGGGGGAGAGGGAGAAAGAGAAAGGATAAAATAGGAGTAAGGGTACATGAGAGAAGAATATCTCAAGCAGCGATATGATAGCAAGAGTAAAAGAGGGAGGTTGAAAATAAAGGAAAGTGGAAAGAAAGAAAATGATTCATCTCTAAAGCTATGGTCACAAATTAGAGCAGCGACCGACCGATCAGTAGCCTGCTCGGTCGCTGCTGGAATTAGGCATCGTCCAGCGATTAGTTCGGTGCCCGGGCGGCGACCGCCCAGGCACCGAGCGTATTTTGGGCGGCGAGTGAAAAGTGGGCAGGCGCCGCCCAAATTTTAACTCCGCGCTAAAACTTCAGCGGCGACCGAGCGATGCCCTAACAACGAGCAGTGACTGGCCGGTCGCCGCTCGGTGGCCGGGCAGCCGCCGGGCAGAATTGGTTAAAAACTCGCCGCTCGGCCGCCGAGCAGGCTACTTTTGGGTAATGTGACCATAGCATTAGTGACCAGGAACCTTCATGTCGTCTCCTAAGGGATAACCAGCGATTGAAGTGACTAGATTTTGTGGGGGCCTGGGCATTTTTTTTTTTACAAAGATGAATCCTTCTAAATACTAGTCTCCTATGTGTGTATTCCAGCGCTTCATTGTAAAATGAATAAGCTGAATCCATGATTAAACAAAGGGCATGTTTTTGCACTCTCTCAATTTCACGAGTTTGGGAGAAGGTAAGACCCGAGTGCTAAACGGGGGTAGCATATGAGGGGGCGAATGAAACCTATATAAATGTCAACAAATCACAGATATGGAGCCGAAACGGAATTAATATTTTTGTTTAATTCTTTTTCATATTCGATCCGGTAGAAACCACCCATATCAAGAAATTAGATAGATGCATTTATGTTAATTACAAATTGATCAGAAAACATCACACAGAGAAACACAGCGAAGGCTACAATTTCAATGCAATTTAATCAAATGATATCAGAATATAGTACATAAAACAAACAAATTCGTCCCAAATGTTAAAACTTAAAATGTTCTAGGACATGGAGCTGTGTAGGGCAAAAAAAAAATTCATGATGTAGCAATTTCCTCTCTCCATACTCCTTTTTCCTCTAATATACATTATGCATATGATGAGTTGACCATATATTGCAAGAGAAGAAGTGATGATGTATTATCTTGGATTTAAACACTACATAGTTTTGGTGACTGCGCTGCCTATTATGTTAATATCAATAAATGAAAATGTATTTCAAGGATCAGAATTGTGAAAACAAAAAACACAAAATATGAAAAAGACCTTAGAATGAATTACCCCTTGACACCAAAATCTTTCACCCCAATGAAGTTCCATTTAAAAGAACAATTGTAATATCTACCTATCATACTAATATCAATATATGAAAAAGCATTTCCGGGAGAGAAAAATGTGAAAACACATTATAAGAGCATAAAATATCTCAGAATTGGATTGCCCCTGAAACCATAATCTTTCTACTATAAAATTCCATTTAGAAGCACACTTTATTATCAGTTTCATCATTTATGTGAGACACCATAGAGGGAATTTTGTATACTTTTGTGAAAGTAAAGAGTACAAATTATACAATTTTAATTTAGGTATAGAAGTGGTATCAACCCCTGAATAAAGATATGGCACAGACATTTCTGCTCTTTCACATATCTTAATCATGTTCACATGAGAATAATCTCTACACAACTGCTAACTTAATAATAATAATAAAGAACGTTCTTCAAAACTAGAAATGTTAGTGTCCTGTTATAATATAAAATGATTGATGAAAGAAAAATGAGGTCTTGACATGAGCTAAATTACATTAATTCATTAATTAATTAAACAAATTCCCCAAAGTACTTATTAAACCAGTGAATCAAGGTCGTGTTTCTAATGTTTGCATTGACATTTGTGAGTGAATTTTAATGGTTGACATCACTTTCATTCTTTCAAAATGAATAAGAAACTTATTATACTGGGCTTCGATCGTTACATGATCTGGTTCTTGGATTAATCTGATTTGATCTTGTCATTAGGTTCTCCAACTATAGAGAGCTAGAGTTCTTATTACTTTGGGAAAAGAAATTGGAAGGTGTAAATCTTGAATCTCTAAAAAAAAGTCTCAATCAAGTAAATTTTGGTAACATACTATCATACAATATGTTATCTACCAAACAGTAAAATTTATTTACAGAAACTCTGTGAAACAATTATACAATATGTGAACTACCAAATAGTATAATCAATTTCTCGAATCTCTATGAAGAAAAGATGATTTTTAGCTCGTGACTTATTAATACGAATCACTACATGATGCATGTTTGAGGAGAGAAAAAAACTGTTAGTATGTACCGAGTACAGTTTCTCCAACTAACTGAGCCATAGTTCTGTTTGTAATACGTATACTGAGTAATGACATATGAAATGAGAAATTAATATATGAGAGAATATTCCATATTGGTATTCTTTCAAAGCAAATACAACTTTCCTGGTCTGGATAACAGGATTACAATCACTCTGTACCTATTTTTAACAACGCAACTTCTGCTTTGATTAAAAAAAGAGAAAGAATATTGACCAGATATAAAGCATCTTTTTATACTTGTGTTACCATATTCGTTTTAAGAATTACTTCTGATATGATCATAAAAGAGAAAAGGATAAACAGAAACATTTTTTCTTTAGTTTCTACATTATGGTATCTTATTTGTGACACTATATTATTAGATAGACAACATTAGGAATAAACTACATCTAATTATTGAATGCAGCAATTACCATAAAACAATAAACTTTTTCAATTACAGTGGTCTATAAATGGTTACTTTTAGAAAAGGCATTCATCTCTAGTCTCGATATCTGATTACATTGAGTGATCATTTCATGCACAAATAATTAATAGGCAATTATAATACGATTTCATATGATCATAAATATTTCAGCATTTCCATAAGCAAAAGTTCATTTAGGATTACTGAATATAAATATACTTAAACAGTAGGCTTACGGATGCAACATGTGAGAGAGGGGGAGGACCCGGCCCCCACTCAGTGTTATTTAGGGTACGTGTATGCATGTTCTCTCCCTTTGAAAGCACCCCCCCCCCCCCACTAAATCTGTGTGTGTAAAGTTAATACGGGCGATTTCTTGTGTATTATGAGCCAGACTTTGTTGCGTGAGAAGTACCCCTTTACCAGAGATTTTGGGAACATGAATGCGGTCCTTCCGTTCCCGGAGTGGGGGGGGGGGGGCCGAGGGGAGGGCCGAGGGGAGGATTGGGGAGTCCTGAAAAGGACTGTTGGTAATCATCTTTCTTGAGTGTGTGTAAATATGCTTCTACATTAACAAATGAATGAAAGGTGCGATCATCATTATAGGGGGGGGGGGGAGGATTGGGGAGCCCTGAAAAGACCTGTCAGTAATCATCTTTCTTGAGTGTGTGTAAATATACTTGTACATTAACAAATGAATGAAAGGTGCGATCATCATTATATCTTTACTATTAATTTTCATAATCTTGGCATAAATGGGTACTTGATATGCTTGAGCGCTATATTGCAGCTCGGCTACGACCAGGGTAATATGTGTAAAGCGCCATGAGCGTCAGAACCTGATGGATACTGGCGCTATATAAATAACCATATTATTTATTATTTTTATTATAAAAGAACAACATTCATGGATGCTCCTACCCAAACACTTCCACCATGTTTTTTTTAAATGCGTAAAATGAATTGCAACTGCGCACAAAAAGGACTCGCATGTATTCACTGAGCTCTGCGTTACAAGATTCAGAAAAGTGTAAAGCGTATTACACTTCACGTCATCATAAAAGAAGCGATTTTGCCAAACAAACCTTAATGTAACTAAATTCTTAACTTAAACCCTAAACCAAACACTCTACCTCACCCAAAACCTAACCCTATATCTAACCTACAACCCAATTGCAGACCGGCCTACCCCTATATCTATGATGAAATCTAACCAAGAGAAGCTGTTGTCTGAGCATATGTCAGAGCCCCATCATAATACAGTTTGCATCTATGCATGATTGTGCTGGCTTAGGAAATGTTTAATTGACCAGATAAGACAGAATAGCAGTTGACTTACGTGAAAATATATCGGAAATGGATACCAAACAAAAAATTGAACAAGTGTCTATTTGGATGTTCAATTCAATTCAAAGCTTTAAAAGCGATCAAGTCTAGCTCTCACCTATCTATCACCTATCTATTGTTGAAGATAGTGATTTGGCCTATATGAATTCACATTATTCAATATAACAATAATAATAATAATCTGGATTTATATAGTGCTTAATACAAAATACTGTCTCTAAGCGCTTTACAGATATCATTACCCAAGCCAGCAGATTCTTTCAAGCAGAATATGCAACATCTCCACTCCCTGTGGAGTATTCCTACCATATGGTCACTGTGAGGGCATATGGCAATTACTAACACAAAGGCTTTTGTCTTGAGGAGACTGTAACATGGGTCCATCTAAAAATGTGCATGATTCAACACCATCTTAAGATTATAGCTAACGTCTAGCAGTTAAAAAAAATAAAAATTTCAGATAATGTACATATCAATATTTAGGGTGATTTCAATTGTACAGGAATGTCCCTCAATCCGCTTTCTTGAATGTTAATACAGTATCAATGACAATTATGACAGTTAGGATGACATGGCTGCCCGCTGACACGGCAACGACATCCCCCTGTTATATCTCCAGTACCCTGTGAGGAAAAAAGGAAGAGGGGGGGGGGGGGGGAGAGAAAGAGACAAAGTTGATATCATGTTATGTTCTCCAATCAATATACATCATCAAGTTAATTTCCATATTCAACAGTCTTCTTTTTTTTCAAAGTGATACGTTTTGAGCATCAAATATTTGTAGCATTATAATCAGTGCATCATCAAGCACTATTTAAATTGTTATAAATGAAACAAAGATTCAAATATCCAACTGTATGAAAACCACCTTGAGTTCAAAATAGTCTAATAGAACCAGTTGGTACAATCAATTATCAGTGATTTAACAGAACACATATTGGCTTCAGGTCTTTCATGTCTCTTATCTTTGACCCTGGAAAGTGAGACTACCAAAATTTTCGCATCTTTTCTTAGTCTTGTGATCCTCGTTCTTGACTACACACCACTGGCGTACCTATAGGGGGGGGCAGGGGGGGCAGAGTGCCCCCCTGACGGGCTCCAGGGGAAAAAAAGAAAAAGGGGAAAGAAAAGAAAAGAAAGGAAAGGAAAGAAAAAGAAAAAAGGAAAAGGGAAGAAAAAAGGAAAAGGGAAAAAAAAAAGGAAAGAAAGAGAAAAAAGGAAAAAAAGGACAGAAAAAAGGAAGAAGAAGAGAAAAGGAAGAAAAAGGGAAAAGAAAAGGAAAGGAAAGGAATAAAAATGGGGATTTTTTTTTTTAAAAGACCATGGCCATACGCACCAGGGGGGAGGGGCAGTTGACCCCAGATATTTTGAAAACGTACAGTTTTTTCCTGAAAATGTAGTGTAGGCCTATACCAAATCCTTCAATTCTACTTTTGAAAATGCAAAAGTACCCTCATGACCAGTTCGGTCGCTCGAACTCCCTTCACTCCTTTTGCTTTTGAGATTCTTCGAAAACTTTTAACGCATCTTTCCCCCTCCCCCACCAGAAAAATATTCCGCATACGGCCCTGAAAAATTAAAATAGGAACATATAAGTGATATAACAAATTCGAAACTCTTCGCTGGCGCGAACTGCTTGCTAGCCTATTTTGTATTAAATGTTTTCACTTGCTCGTCCCCCTGAAAAAAGAAAAGGATTAGTATTGCCTAGAGTGCAATTGTGCCTGCCCCGACGGGCCCCGACCTGCAACCATGGCAACAATAACACACAATATATGTACCAAATGTTACTAAAAGAGACTAAGTCATTTTTCTCGCTCGCTACACTCGCTCGCGAATAAAATGAATAGACATTGCTTTGGAAACAATTGTGCCCACCCTTGACCTGCAACAATATCATTAAAAATGGAAGAGTTTTTTCGCCCTCTCGCCAAAGAGGAATTGAATCGCGCGATTGCGTCCATCCTGACCTGCACCAATAAAAACAAGTTTATTTATTAATTTCTATTTTTTTGCTTGCTCGCTATGCTCGCTCGCCAAAATGGAATTGACACCGCAAACGTGCCCGCCCCAACCTGCAACAACCAGTTAATAATTATGTTCCAAACGTTATTCAAAGAAGTTTTGGTGTGCTCGTGCTCGCCAAAACGGAATTAACATCACCTTAGACATGATTGTGTAAGCCCTGCCCTGCAACAAAAAAATCTGAAATTTATGAACCAATTATCATTACAAAAATTTTACTCGCTCGCTACGCTCGCTCGCCAAAATAGAAATAACACAGCTTTTAATAATCACGTCCCTGACATGGAACAATGAACCCAAGTTTATATACCATATTTTCCCTATAAAAGAGAAGTGATTTTTTTTGCTCTCTCGCTACGCTCGCTCGCCAAAATAGAAATAACACCGCTTTTAATAATCACGTCCCTGACATGGAACAATGAACCCAAGTTTTATGTACCATATTTTCCCTATAAAAGGAAGTGATTTTTTTTCGCTCGCTAGCTCGTGGAATTATGTGCCCACCACTAACCTGCTACAATATCATTAAAAAGAGAAATGTAGGGGGTTGCCTGCCCGCCAAAATGGGATTGACATTGCCTTAAACATGATTGTGCCCGCCCCCTACCTGCAACAATGAAACAAATTTTATATAGCAATTCATTGAGAGAAAGATGTATTTTCGCTCGCTAGCTAAAATGGGTATAAAATCACCCTAAACACAATATTGTTCCCGCGCCCTGCATGGGAAAATTGAACCAAGTTTAAGTGGCAATTCTTAAAAAAGAAGTGATTTTTTTTTCTTGCTCGCTACACTCGTTTGCAAAAAAATGATTTTAACGTCGCTAACAAGTGAATGTTCCCACCCCCAACTTGCAACAGTACCAGTTTATATACCAAACGTTACTTAAAGATTTTTTTTTGCTCGCTCGCTCGCCAGAAGTGAAAATTAGCATCGCCTTTTTTGTTTGTTTCGGTCGCTTGCCCCCCCTGACGGAGTACCCCAGGTACGCCACTGTTGCTACACACTGCCCAGTATTTAGAGAACCCTCTGGTCCCATCTACTACTTTCTGTGAAGTGACTCTACTTGGTACTGTCTATAGATTACCGAAGCTCTGACATCACAAAATTCTATTTTTAGAATTTCTCAATTTTTTTCTTTATTTTCCAAAAGAGCATCAAAAATAATGTCCGAATGTTGAAAACCAATTGAATATGGTTGTGAGCCAGAGCAATATAACACTGAGTTCCTACTATAGGACATCTATTTATTCAGATGGTCATATCTCAGCCACTACTTTACATATTCAATTGGTTTTCAACATTCAGACATCATTTTTGATGCTCTTTCAGAAAATGAAGAAAAAATTGAGAAATTCCAAAAATAGATTTTTGATGACGTCACACTAGACCATGGAACAGTCAAAACATTTCATTTTTGAAAACAGTCTTAATATTTCCAACTTGTTCATATTCATTGGTCCTTTGTTGATCTACGCTATCAACATATGAGTGGAATAGCTAGATCGAGGTACCGGCAGTTTTTAGGAATATTTAATAATGTGCTCTCAGTACGATTTTCAATTTCGTACCATCGTTTTTTATTATGTCAATCATATTGTAAACATTGCAATTCATTATTCGGACTGCAAGAATGCACTACAATCCTTCAATAAATCTCAGAGCGACTTCATGCTTTATTTCAAATCAGACATTTTCATTCCTTTCAATAACTTACCCCTTTTCCCCATCGAGCTTGCTTCGTTACCCAGCAGATCTCCATTTGGCAGACCGAACATTTTATCCAATCACAACCTCCTTTCTTCTGCACAATGATACTACAATTAGGGCACTTCATAGCCTCTCCGCTTCTCACCAATTCCTACGATAAGAATTAAAAAGAAAAAATGTTTTTAAAATTTGTAAAATAGGAATAAAAGGCACATTGCAAAGCAGGCAGAATTACTGTGATGCTCTTAGATAACAAATACCTTAATATTATTAGGGGGTAGGGGGTACCATCATTACCCTTTCTGGTATTTAATCTTGATTAATAAAAGTATATTTATAGCTGAATTGTGTATCGTGATCAAAAGTCTTAATATTTGTTTCCATTATCAGTCTATACTTTTGCTCTTGCTTTCTTTTATTATGTATTGCACTATTTCACTGTTCATTAAGTTGACTGCTGTTGCACATTGTATTTTAATTGTACTATGTAATACAGGGCTCTTATGCAAAGCAATGCTGTAGACACTACCCTGTATAAAGAACATAGGATAAATACATTAATAAATAAATTCATACCTGTTGAAAGAAAGTCATGGATGAATGGTGGGAGAAAATTAAAACAAATTTGAATACAGAAGGAGAAGGAGCAGCATGAAAAGGGAAAAGGTGAAGTGATAGAACGGGGGAGGGTGTATGAAATGAGGAGAGAAACAAAAAAAATTAAGAAAATAAAAGAAGGTTGCAAATAAAAGTGAAGAAAAAGAACTGACTACACCGCGGTTCAAGGATACACAGATTAAGAGCATCTTCATTTGCCACATTCGACCCAGGTGAGGTAAATGGGTACCTGGCAGAAATTAATTCCTTGAAACGCTGGAGTGCTGTAATGGCAGCTAGGCAAAGGCGGGGGTAATAATTAGTGCACCTCGGAATAGAATTTCAAGATAGAGGGCGCTATAGGAATGCCTATTATTCATTTTTATGGGAAAAGAATACATCACCTCCAGGGTTTCTTGCGTCTGCCTCGCCGACACATCATTCTGCGCCCTTGTTTTGAGATCCTCCTGGTATTGCTTACAGTCTATGCCTTCATGAATGGCTTTACATGTCAAACAGTTTATTCGTTTGCACAGAGGGCAGTTGAAGAAGTTGTTGTTGTCTTCGTAGAAGCAGAATCCCCTGCAGTCTGTTGTCTTGCAGTGGAAGCTGTTGGCCGCGCTGGACTCCGCCCGACGAAGACCGCGTTCCAGGTACTTCTGAAAGTTTTCTTCACTCAAGAGCTGTGACAACAGATGAAATCATTTCATTTGAGTGAACGATGTGCTATAATATCACATCATCCTGTTGACTAAAGGATTCTCTCATACCTAATGGCTCAATAACAGATACCATCTAGCTCCTAAAGGCAATGATTTAAAGGGAAAAGACTCTCTTTCCCACAAAATATATCAACAAACATTTTGCAAGGACCAGAAAGCTAAGTTAGATCAATTTCTTTTGTCCGTTTGTTCAGAGAAAGGTGAGAATGAAAATATTGTGTCATCACTTGATTGTGTTGGCAGTGAATGCCCTGTCTCTCAGTACTTTGCCAACAGATATAGCATTCAAAATTTGACATAGAGTGTGAACTTAGCCATATAAAAATACAGCAGCTTCAAACAACACTCACAAATCACTAAAGTGTACCATGTTTTTAACTGTATTACTGTACAGTGACTCACAGCACAATTGGATAGTTCCCATAATATTCTGTGTTCTGTACGTAGAGATTACAAGACTATAGTTTTCACTCTTGTGGGCTTAATATCCACCCTCTTCCAATTGTCATTTCAACAATTACAAATTGGTGGTCACACCGATCTGCAAGTACATGAAGATACTCACTGTTTTGATCTCCCTTTCAAGGACGTGCTGTGTGCAGGGGACGCCATCTTCCATCCCGGGGCACTTGACCAAGGCATCTGTTGACTGCATCACATGCTGGCTTACACATTCCCTGTTACAACAAAATATTGTTTGTGAGCAGCAGATTTTCGTAATCTATTTTTTTATTCCAAAGATTTACTTAATCACACCAGTACTGTATTTCCGTATGTCTTGTGATATAATTCGTATAAATTACTTAAAGAATATGTGGTAAAGAATTCGGTTTTACTGATTACTAGTGTGATAAACCTGACTTACATGCAACACGTATGAAAATATGCAAAAACCATGTTCCAATCATGATCCAGCCCTACCTGATTCCATCAATCACATCCACCAGGGGGGTGTTTCACAAAGATCCTAGGTCGAACTTAACTCTAAGTTGGACTTAAACATTATGGAGAGCCATTTGTAGCCTTAACCCTATGTTAACTGGGGGGGGGGTCAATTTGACCCCCCCCTGTAGAAATTTCGCGACTACTCCGAAACCGCGGCAGATATAAAATTTTCCTTTCATGACTTTTTACTTTCGAGTCTTACGCATCTTTTAAAATGATTTTTTTGAAAATCGGACCTACGGTTACAAGGTCACGTGACCTTTTGTCTTTGCATGTCAGCCCGAAAATCGCTCATTTTCGTGATTTGTGTACAAAACATATGTAAAAGTCATTTTTCCTAAAAATAGATAAAACATTGGTTATTCAGTCTTGTTTGAAGTTTAGATGTTTGTTTTGGGGTCAAAATAGTTGAATTGTAGTTATAAATGAAATAAAACAACAAAAACAATAAAATACATAAGTTAAAAAAACAATAAAATACATAAGAAATTATAAAAACAAGAGATAACATAAGGAATAACCTGGCTCTTCCAATTTTTTGTGTCGTATTATTATTCCAAATGGTCTAATAAATATATGTAGTGAAAAAGAATATGTAAACATGAATAATCTATGATTTATGGGCAGAAATGTGAATTTGATGACCTTATTTGCATAAATTACCATAAATATGCAAATGAGTGAATTTTTAAAAAATTTGAAATTACCATAGTATTCTATACACTTCACTTGACGTGTATGCAAATTTTCGCGGCGATCGGCGGTGAAACGGCCGAGATCTTAGGGGGGGGTCAAATTGACCCCCCCCCAGTAAAAACCTGGTCTGAAATAGCCCAGTTAAAATAGGGTTAAAATAAAGTATATTCAAAAGCAAATTTAAGTATTTAAGACTTTTTATAAATTCTACATCAAGAACATGAAATCTCCTTGATAATAGAAAATATGAGTGACTTAAATGAATCAACATTTTATGCCTTTTAAAATAACTTTTAAAAAATATTTTCAAACATGCTGATGGCTTCCATAATTGCTATGTCCAACTTAGAGATAAGTTCAACTTAGGATCTTTGTGGAACACCCCCTGGTTATACATTACAATAAACAAAGTCCTGATTCCTACAGACTAGCCTGAAAACTCTAATACCTGGCACAATTATGAAGACACTCTCAGAGCACTATACCTTCAGTGCAGGATCGCAGTCCGACGGGCATACAAAACAATCAAAGGATTCCCTGCAGAAACTCAATAGCCTCATGATGTTGTCTTACCTGCAGAATATGTGAAGGCATTCCCTTAGCACTACCCCATCTCCAGATTCATAGTCCACAAGGCATACAGGACAGTCAAAGGGTTCTCGATTCAGGACCAGGTCTTGATCGTCAATCCTTAAGAGATCCTGATAGTTCTGAATCACCAGCTCCCTCTCCTTCTGTGTGTAGTGATATATATTTTGACTTCCAATTGTAAGGATGCAATATAGCTACACGATAATGTAAGTAGTCTTTGAAGTGGGAATTAATGAACTTGAAACTTGAACATGCACTGCTCAATCAGCTGAACCCTAATGATAATGCTGTTCCTAGCTTCGCAGCAAATTTCCACTTCCATTTGTCATAACAAGAGCCCAATCTGTCGCCGTCTGATCAAATTTTTGTTGAAAACCAACTCGTATTCAGAAGCCTTTCAATTAACTTTAAATCTAAGCATATCAGGAGCTTTTGTAGCGCAGTAGAATATATACTGAATGTTGGATAGTTTCCGCGCTCTATAAAAATATATTATTATATTATTCGTGTGGGTCCATACTGTAGCTTTCTCAGGAGTTTGCCACCAATCTTCATCGTTTCTCTGCCTCATTGCACAAAATTAACTCTGATTATTTTTATAATACCTTTGTGAATCTGCTGGACCCTTATGAGTATGACTGTAATATTTCTGCCCATATATTTACCATCTGTCCCTTCATTCGAAAAGGGACTTAAAACATTTTTTTTTGTAATCCAGATTTTTAGGATTCTGTAAGTTTTCATTTTCATTTTGTGTAGAATTCTTCTTGTTGTAAGCGCTTTGGGCTGCTCTGGGAAAAGCACAGTATATAAATAATAATAATTGCATAAAAAGAACTCTGACAACTAAAGTCAAACCTGCTTTAGTGACCACCTGTCTACAAAGGGTAACCCGACACATGCTCCGGCGACGATTACTCCGGTGACAAATGCTCCGCAAAAAGCGACAATTGCTCCGCGACATTTGCTCCGACGTCAAATGCTCCGCCGACAGTTGCTCCGCCGACAATTGCTCCGCCGACAATTTCTCCGCCGACAATTGCTCCGCCGACATTTGCTCCACCGACATTTGCTCCGCCGACAATTGCTCCGCCGACAATTGCTCCTCCGACAATTGCTCCGCCGACATTTGCTCCGCCGACAATTGCTCCGCCGACAATTGCTCCGCCGACATTTGCTCCGCCGACATTTGACAATATTTCTTTCATGGGTTATTTTTTTGTTTTGTGTGATTTGTTTTGTTGCTGTAATATTCAGGGCCGTAGCCAGCGTTCTGAGAAGGGGGAGGGGGGGGGGGGGGGGAGGTGCTTTTTAATTCCACGATCAGATGACACTGATGGGAAAAAAGTGATAAACCTTTGCGAAAGAGCCAATCCCTTTTTGAGGGGGGAGCAGGTGCAGAAACTTTTAAATAACAGATAAACTGTGTTCAACCATTAATAGACCTTCTTTCAACAAATAGTGATTTTTCTTGGGCACTATATCATTTAAGGTTATATTTATTCCCTTTTCATTAAACGATGGTATACAGCGAGAGAGAGAGAGAGAGAGAGAGAGAGAGAGAGAGAGAGAGAGCGCTAAAAATGTAGACTCATGAATAATACTGAATAGCATCTTCCTGCTAATGATTTCCTTCCTTGATTAAATGGGCACGTTTATACCATAAACTGAACAGCGAACGTTCAACCCATGAATTATTGTCAACAATAATGAGTATCCAACAGAGTTTTCTTGCTGCAGGACGGGTCGGGCACATTAAGGCGATGTCAATTTTATTTTTTAGCGAGTTAGCGTAGCATGTGAGCGAGTTCTTTTGCACTTCTCTTTTGATAATAATTATAGGCATATTTGTTTACATAAGCAACTGTGTCGTCTTGTCCCTCGAAAGAGAGGGCACAAACACATTTAAAGGTACTATGTCCCATTTGCAGGCCAAAAAAATGAAAAGGTTAAATTCCAACGGCATTTGAAAGTAAATACTAATTTAGAACTTCCCTACAAAAAAAAAGGGGGGGGGGGGCTTGAAAATGTCTTAAAGTGGGAAAATAACGACTATTAGTCGTCGAATCGACTTAAGGGCTATAGAGCCAGTAAGTAATAGTCTGATTTTTAGACCATTGTACCGAATGGTCTTATGTTTTATGCCGCGCAAAGATTCAATCAGTTTAATTTTGGCTCTTACAAGAAGTGGGTTATTGATGTAGACAAATGCTCATGTACCCTTTACAGCTCATTTTATGTATGTTATTATACCAAAGAAGAAAAAAAAAGCCAGTCTGTCCCTCAATAGTGTCTAATCCAGGCCTTCTCAACTAGTTTATTAGAAGTGCCAAAACAAAAAATTATTGAGGTTGAAGTGCCAACCTATATGTTTGGTGATTGTATTGCGAGGGAGCGTAGCGACCGAGCCGATCCGGATGGGGCTTTCAGGGGGCGAAGCCCCCGGAAGGGCTTTTTTAAGGCCCAGATGTGGCATTTTTAACACCTTTTTATTCAATAAAATATCAATCATAATTTCATATTGAAGTGAAATAATTAGTACAATTCCTGGGTAAAATCTACACTGGAAGTAAATTTATATGTAGTTATCTTGATGCAATAAACACGGAAAATGTTAAAATCAAGTGAAAATCAAACAAACAAAATGGCTTGCTAACATTTTGGGGTCAACTTCGACCGCGACTTATTGATTTTGCTGAGTTTTTAATTTTTTTCTTTCTTTAATTTTTAACTTTTAATTTTTATTTATTTTTTATATTTTTTTGGAACAGCCGTGCGCCAATCCGACTGACCGCAAGCGCCACAAGTGGCGCGCGCGCCGCCAGTTGAGAAGGCCTGGTCTAATCAGTGAAGCCTAGCAAATAAACAGGTTTCCTTCATAATTTGAATATTAGGACACTGCTAACGTTTAACTTTCACAGATACATGCATGACATATTTATAATTCCTGCAAATGTCTACATATCTTGATGTTGGCTGCAAAAGGGAAATAGTATCTTTAATGGGATGTGTTTTTTTTTATTTATTTTTTTTATTTGTTAATTTGGCAAACAAGGACGGTGAACATCATAGGTTATAATCTTGAGTATAATTTTTCTACATTACGTCCCTTAATTTGAATCAAATGGGCAAGTATTATTTCCGGATTTATTGTTTATTCCTTGTTGGCGAGCGAGCTAGTTAACGAATGGTCGAAATTCTTTGGCTTGCCATTTCAAAGCATCTGCGTGACCAGCATTGCTTGTTAATCACTGATGTACAAAATGTATTACTAACATTATAAAGTGTAGCGAGCAAGCGAATTTTCATCCTTTTCATATAATAACTGAAATCCATCTGCCTTAATCACTAATGATTATTTCACGAGCATGTAGTATATTTCATACTCCATTTTATTTCTAGTTTTTCTCCGACGTGTCCCGACGTAGCGCCGGCAAGATTTACCGTCATTAATCTTCCTATATTCTATTTTGTGTCCGTTTTTCCTTGTCTTCAGCCTTTTCTTGTCTCTTTTCTTGACCTTTTCTTTTCCATGTTTTCTTGTCCTTTTATTTTCTTTTCTTTTCCTTTCTTCCTATCTTTTCTTTTCCTTTCTTCCTATCTTTTCTTTTCCTTTCTTCCTATCTTTTCTTTTCCTTTCTTCCTATCTTTTTTCCCCTGCAAAATGGAGCATTTGTCTTCAACGGGGTACTTTGGGGGCGGAGCAAATGTCGGCGGAGCAATTGTCGGCGGAGCAAATGTCAGCGGAGCAATTGTCGGCGGAGCAAATGTCGGCGGAGCAATTGTCGGCGGAGCAAATGTCAGCGGAGCAATTGTCGGCGGAGCAATTGTCGGCGGAGCAAATTTCGGCGGAGCAAATGTCGGCGGAGCAATTGTCGGCGGAGCAACTGTCGGCGGAGCAACTGTCGGCGGAGCAAATGTCGCGGAGCAAATGTCGCGGAGCAATTGTCGCTTTTTGCGGAGCATTTTTCGGCGGAGCAATCGTCGGCAGAGCATGTGTCATGGAACCCTACAAAGACCTTCTTGTTTCCCTTGAAAATGGTTTCTCATTGAAACATGTACTAAAGGAATCTGTCTACAAAGACCACTTGCTGTGTTCCCCTTGGGCGGTCGCTATAATCAGGTTTGACTGTACAAAGCACTTGACCTTTTGGCTCTGTCACCTTCTTGATTAAAGGACTCTTTACAAATATGACCTGGCATTAAACCTTCCCTCTTGTCTCCTCAATACCAACAATAGTTCTTCTTTCAACAAAATCATTTGCAAAATTTGGTATAACTTGACCTCTCCACCTGAGATCTTTCTTTCTAGACATGGTGGAAAATATCCAAACTTTGAATTCTCCTTTATAAATCTTAAACAAGCAATTCTAAGACTCCAAAATATGTGTTCAGACTTTTGGACCCTAGATGCACAGATTACATCAAATGAAATGTTAGACTGCTCACCTCTAAAAAAGCCTGCTCCTTCTCTTCCGATTCTTTCTGAAAGGCCCTCTCCGACGGGTCTATTGAGTAGGAGCCCTCTGTAGGAACCGAGTATGCTTCGGGTCTTGCAGTGGTGCAAGCCTGGCATCCCGGTATGAGAGGGGGGTTGACCAGGGTGCAGGCTGTACACACCCATCCAACCTAAGCAAAAAAATAGCACAGGAGATGGTTTGAAGAAATACTTTAATGCTAACGAAATGTCATTTACCTAAATAAGGCATTGAATACTAGTCACATACCACTGGTAATGATAATGACAATGACAACAATAAAATTGGACTATGAAGACACAACAACAACGAATACCATTGTGAGACAGATTTCATTGTTATGGATATTGGCTATATGTGACTAGCCCTTAATTTGTCTAAGATTCTTTGACTGAAGCATTAACATAATTGTAACTCTTGTTTTTTTAATGTTACACTGTAATGTGATTGTAGTGTAAAACAATATGATTATTTATTTATTTTTCTGCAAAAAAAAATGTAACGCATATTCTGTATTTAAAATCTTTGTGTTTTCTGACCTATAAAACTGATCAAGATTTTAAAAAATTGTAACTCCTAACCATCATCATGGAAACACTTATAAAGATTCAAATATTCAAATCCCTATCACCAATCATTCAAGGAGAAACAAGTCAACGCAAAGCGTAGCATCCCCTCGCAGGGTACAAGTGGCCTATATATGTCAGAACAAGTTACCTCCATTGAACTATACTATTATATTAGTATATATATATATTAGTGAACTTAGGCTGTCTTTTGATACCATGAACCTTCATATCAAATTTCATTAAAATCCGTCAAACAATACTAAAGTTATGGATCGGAAACCAGATTCGCATATTTAATGAGCTATGACCTTTGACATATATACTCCAAAATTGAACTTAAGCTGTATTTTGATACCATGAACCTTCATATCAAATTTCATTAAAATCCGTCAAGCAATACTAAAGTTATGGATCGGAAACCAGATTCACATATTTGATGAGCTATGACCTTTGACCTACATACTCCAAAATTGAACTTAGGCTGTCTTTTGATACCATGAACCTTCATATCAAATTTCATTAAAATCCGTCAAACAATACTAAAGTTATGGACCGGAAACCAGATTCGCATATTTAATGAGCTATGACCTTTGACCTACATACTCCGAAATTCAACTTAGGCTGTGTTTTGATACCATGAACCTTCATATCAAATTTCATTAAAATCCGTCAAAATAATGCTAAAGTTATGGATCGGAAACCAGATTCACATATTTAATGAGCTATGACCTTTGACCTACATACTCCGAAATTGAACTTAGGCTGTGTTTTGATACCATGAACCTTCATATCAAATTTCATTAAAATCCGTCAAACAATACTAAAGTTATGGATCGGAAACCAGATTCGCATATTTAATGAGCTATGACCTTTGACCTACATACTCCGAAATTGAAATTACGCTGTGTTTTGATACCATGAACATTCATATAAAATTTTATTAAAATCAGTCAAACATTACTAAAGTTATCGATCGGAAACCAGATTCGCATATTTAATGAGCTATGACCTTTAACCTTTGACCTACGTACTCCAAAATCGAACCTAGCCTGTATTTTGATATCATGTACCTTCCCATAGGAAAGTGAAAAGTATGCCGCAGACCTGCCGCAGACCTGCCGCAGATCTGCCGCAGACCTGCCGCAGACTTTTAGTCTGCGGCAAAGAGTATGCCGAAGTATGCGGCAGAAGGAAATTTTGCTGCAGACTTGCCGCATACCAGTATGCCACAGGAACAGTCTGCGGCAGATCTGCGGCAGGATGAAATTTTGCTGCAGACTTGCCGCATACTAGTATGCCACAGGAACAGTCTGCGGCAGATCTGCGGCAGGATGAAACTTTGCTCCAGACTTGCCGCATACTAGTATGCCACAGGAACAGTCTGCGGCAGATCTGCCGCAGGATGAAACTTTGCTCCAGACTTGCCGCATACCAGTATGCCACAGGAACAGTCTGCGGCAGATCTGCGGCAGGGCGAAACTTTGCTCCAGACTTGCCGCATACCAGTACGCCATAGGAACAGTCTGCGGCAAGTCTGCCACAGGAAATCCCATTAAAGTCTAATAGGGCCAATTGAAACCAATCATCTCATGCATATTCATTATTACTTTACACGTGTGACAGAAAAATACATTTATCATGATTTGTTAAGCAAATTAAGACAATGCACATCATTTTTGTGATTTCTATTTTCCTTTTGCCATTATTAACCAATAGATTATTTTGTCTGATCATGTTACAATTACATTCACGTTTAAGCAATAGATATATTGATTACTAACCAAGAAACAATATACATATTTAGTATATATATGTGTACGAGCCTGTGTCACTTTAAATGTTACTCTTGAATACACTTCAAATGATCAATGTGATGAAGTTAATACAATTGAGAATAGAATATACCTAATTGGTAATATCGATATATATTGGTATTACCTAATTGGTAATATCGATATTGCCAATATCGATTACAAAATATCAATCAGTTTATCACTGGTTCTTCTACATGCATACTTTATTGCCAGGTACTGGATATGAAAGAGTATGCGGCAGGTCTGCAGCAGGTCTATATGTGATATGAATATTCATGACGAAGAGTCTGCGGCAGGTCTGCAGCAAGTCTGCGGCAGACCTGCCGCAGACTCTTCATCATACTGAAAGAGTATGCGGCAAGTCTGCAGCAAGTCTGCGGCAGACCTGCCACAGACTCTTCATCATACTGAATGAGTATGCGGCAAGTCTGCAGCAAGTCTGCGGCAGACCTGCCGCAGACTCTTCATCATACTGAAAGAGTATGCGGCAGGTCTGCAGCAAGTCTGCGGCAGACCTGCCGCAGACTCTTCATCATACTGAAAGAGTATGCGGCAAGTCTGCGGCAAGTCTGCGGCAAAACTAATTTGCATGTGAAAAAGATGACTGTCTGCGGCAGGTCTGCTGCAGATCTGCGGCAAGTCTGCCGCAGGAGTATGCGGCAGGCTCATTTCTTTCCTATGGGTTTATATCAAATTTCATTAAAATCCGTCAAACATTACTGAAGTTATCGGTTGGAAACCAAATTTGTGACGGACGGTCGCACAGACGGACGGAAGGAAGGAAGGACGGACGGCAGCGTTTTTATATCCCCTCCGACTTCGTCAGCAAGGGGATAATAATTCTTCTGGCCATGTAACCCTTGACCTCATGCCATTGACTCTACATGAATTTTGAAAAAGTTGATACAGTATACAAATAACGCACGGCCCAGAGTGCAATAGCGGTGAATGCAGTACGCGCGAGGTTTCTTTAGATTGGTGCCGCTCTGTGCAACGAGCCGCTTGCGGCGAGTTGACAGTGCGAACCATCTGAAGAAACCGAGCGAACACTGCATTTACGTTTCGCACAACAGGGTCAAGTGCGTTATTTGTTTTATAAAATAGCGACACAAACAGCAACAAACAAAAGTTTATATCTTAAGTATACGAGAGTTCGATCTAGATCTAGAGTTATGTTGGTTCTACTAGATCTAGTAGTAGATTCTACTAGACTAAAATGAGGGTCTAAAAGTAAAACCTTGCAGGCTTACCGAAAAGTCCACGGGATTCATTGTTTGATTAAAAATAAAATGCATAGGGTGTCTAGAGACGAGTCTACATCAGACAGCTGAAATTCTTGGCTTCATTATAAAATCCGAAAGTCAAAACGGGTCTAAATCCAAGGCAAAAGTAAAATAAAAATTTGCTTTCTAATAATATCCCGCTTCTAGCTAGAGCTAAGCTAGCTACGCGTACGCTGCGCTGGGGATCATGGTGGAGCGTACAATATTAGCTACGCGTAGCTACAGCCTACAATGCACTCGAGGGAGCGTACTAGTACTACGCGTACGCGTGCGCTCTGGATCTCCATGGTCACGTACGCGCCGTGCAATATAACTTTTTGTTGCGCTTTTTCTGCACTCATTTCTACAAAAGCGTGCTTGCATCAAAAATTTGTCAATGTCATGTGACGCGTATTGACCAATCACGATGCTTAAAATACTAGAGCCATTTTATAATTATTCATAAAGCCATAGACTGTTCACTTATTTACCATTTTTTCTCATCTCATAATTTACCCTGTTGTGAATAGGTAATGCTTGTCAGATTATAGAGAATTCCCATCCGATATGAAGCCGGAATAACGCCTAAACCTCTCAACACTGCACCTTGTTCCCATTCATTTAGCATTAACCTTAGGCTTTAAAAAAAAAAAAGTTGTATTGCCCTTTGCGACCGACCCCAAAATCTTGAAATATACGGTTGGCTTTTTAAAAAAGTTTATATTTTTTAACCATTTTTTAGAGAAAAAAAATATGAAAGCATTCAAACTGAGAAATATCAGCACAAAAGGGAGATTTAAAAAAAAAAAGGATTTCCGACCGACCCATGTTTTGGCACCTAAAGGGCAATACAACATCTTTTGCCTTTAGGCCTTACTGTAAAGGCTTGCAATTTGTATCCCACTATTGTGTGTGACTATGACACTTCCCAAACTCAACTCACCTCCATTGCCGTTGGTTTCTTCTTCACCTCAGGCACTCTTTCAACCTGTGGAGACCTTGGACCTGAAGACCACCTATCCGAGGAACTGCTTGTCGATGGTGCAAGTCTTTGTATCGAGTCTACTTCATGCAGTGGGGGAGATGTAACTCTGCTATGTGAGGTCCGCAAGGTACCGCGACCTTCTGTGAAGTTGTTGGAGGTCCTTTGTAGGGTTTGGGGTTCTAAAAAAAAAAAATCGCAAGAAATTCCTTCATTACATTTCATCAAAAAAAAAAGTCAGTAATTTTTTTTTGCCTTACATAACCTTTCTTATTAAAAAACATTAGAGGCATTTTATCATTCAAGTTTCTGATTTTCTTCTGTGTTCATAATTATAGGTACTTTTTCAAGCCGTCACTTTTAACATCTCACTTTTTTCCACCGACCTGTTCACAGTTCGGTCCACTCATTAAAGAGGTTTATCTTGACCGATGGTTTACAGCTTCATAAGGCCAAAAAAAAACTAGATGGAATTCGACTGCGCGCAGTCGAAAATGATGCCTCCGTCATAGAGCAATTTTACAAACCGAAACGGAAGAAATTTTTCAAATTCAAGTTCAATTGTAATCCATTAACATGTTCTCAGAATATCGTGATTACAAGCAATTTCTCATAAACATATATGACCCTTTGATCTTTGACCTCATGACCCTAAAATCTACTCAGTTCATTGGCTCTGCAAGATTTCCTGAGTTAAATAGTAATCCATCTGTCAGTTCTAATGAGAATGCGTCCACAAGCTATTTTTGCATACATAATGAGCCCATGACCTTTGATCTTATGAACCATTCATTGGCTCTGCAAGATACATAAATGATCTAAGTTTGGCAGGAATCCATCAATCTGTTCTAATGATAATACGATCACAAGCTATTTTTGCATACATAATGAGCCGCATGACCTTGACCTTTACCTCATGACCCCAAAATCTAATCAGTTCATCAGCTCTGCAAGTAACATACATGACCAAAGTTTGGCAGGAATCCATCAATCGGTTGTTCAGATAATGCGATCACGAGCTGTTTTTGCATACATAATGTGCGCTGTGACCTTTGACCTCGTGACCCCAAAATCTAATCAGTTCATTGGCTTTGCAAGATACATACATGACCAAAGTTTGGCAGGAATCCATCAATCGGTTCTTCAGATAACGCGATCACAAGCTGTTTTTGCATACATAATGAGCCCTGTGACCTTTGACCTTTGACCTCGTGACCCCAAAATCTAATCAGTTCATCAGCTCTGCAAGATACATACATGACCAAAGTTTGGCAGGAATCCATCAATCGGTTGTTCAGATAACGCGATCACAAGCTGTTTTTGCATACATAATGAGCCCTGTGACCTTTGACCTTTGACCTACGTGCTCCAAAATGTAATCAGATTGTTTTCCTATAGTGATACACACTATCACTAAGTTTGAAGTTTAAATCTCCAGTGGTTCTTGAGATATCATGATAACAATCTCAATGTATGGAATTTCATAAGTTGACCTCTGTGACCCTTGACCTTTGACATACGTGCTCCAAAATCTAATCAGATCGTCTTCCTATGGTGATACATACTATCCTTAAGTTTTAAGTTTAAATCTCAAATGGTTCTTGAGATATCGCGCTAACAAACTCAATACAAGGAATTTCATAAGTTGACCTCTGTGACCTGTGACCTTTGACCTACGTACTCCAAAATCTAATCAGATCGTCTTCCTATGGTGATAAATACTATTCCCGAGTCTTAAGTTTAAATCTTAAATGGTTCTTGAGATATTGTGATAACGGTCAAACGGGACGGACGGACGGACGTACGGACAACCCGAAAACATGATGCCTCCGGCACCACCTTCGGTGGCGGAGGCATAAAAATCGTTTGGTTGTCCTCGACCGCCCGCTCGTCATTTTCGGGCCGCTCGTATTTTTTTTTTTTTTTTTTTAATTTTTTTTTTTTTTTTGGGGGGGGGGGGGGGGAGCAATCTTAAATGCCAAACATACCATTTTATGCATTTGCAAGGATCAAAATGCGTCCCGTTGCCAGTTTGGTCTTTTCAGTACGCAATTAGGTATTTATTAAACCTGCCATTTTTATTTTTCTATGTCAAAATGCTGTTCATTCAAATCAGGGTCTGAGCATTCTTAAACTCATTTTAAAGCCCATCTGTACTAGTTTACAGGAAAGATTAGACCACCCTGCAAGGTCACTGCACAGGTGGTTATCTCATCAAATCAACTCTCAGTTAATATAAGTTAAAGAGGATAATGGGGGACCAATGGTCACCGATTAGGCATTGTTTGCTACATAGAGGGCGCAAGTAGCTATAAGTAGTACAATGGAGATTTAAAAGGTGCTGTATTTCAAAGCCCAAAATACTTTCTGTGTTGGTCTTGATATTCATTTTACATTAAACTAGTCTTTTACCATATTAAATTGTTTTATAGACTTTGTTTGTTTAAATGCTTGACAATCCCAATGATTTTTTTTTTTTTTTTATGGAAAAAAAATTATTAAAAAAAGACACAACAAAAATGAAGTTAAAAATTTTTTTTTAAAATCCGCCCGCCCACCCCTACTCCAGAATAGCAATCAAGGACAACCAAACAATTTTTTTGGGGGGCCTAAGCATACTAAATGCAAGTCCTAATGTCCAACATTCTGGCAATGATTCTTGTGTATACTTATATATGCTAATTCAACTTAAATCTGCATCTATTAAAAGCAAATTATTTTTGGAGTGGATTTAGCTTTTAAGCAAAAGTATCATTCAGTAGTAGATTACCTTTTGTCCTATTTAGTTCTGGCCTACGGTATGTCTTGGATGTTTTCGCTCCTCAGAAATAGCATGCTTCTCAATCTCTAGCGCATGCTTTGTAGTGTTGACCTTTAAAGCCGAGGTCAAATATAGGTAAAGGGTTGCACCAGAAGACGAGATTCCATTGGTTGCTAGTGTCTCGGTGTCTTTAGCGATGCGGCCCCCAATAAGCCAATTCTGGACTGGCGTTGGAAGAGCGTATGTGAGACAAGTCTGTAAGTAATCAGTAGAAATAATTCTGCAAATTGAAATTCAAGGATATTATATGTAACTTAAACATTGTGTATGACCTTCAGCTAAATTTTTCTATGATAAAAACCCCAAAATAATAGGAAAAGAAAATGTTCTAATGAAAATATGCTTCTATTTCTAATACTACTTCTTACATTACGTTCTCCCAAACCCTCAACCATCCCCACCCCCCCCCCCTCAACCAAAGAGACTTTAAGAAGTTTTTGCAGAAAAAAAAATAGATGTAATGTACACATAGTATTAGTTTTTTCAGTTCAGTTTGTTTTATTATCATATCGTAGCTTCAGCTGAATTACATGACAATATAAAGCATAAGTGAGAAACTTGAAACAGACCGTGACAACTTGGAACTATCTTTTTCTCACACATACAAAATAACTGATAAAGGTGATGGCCAAAGATATTAACTTGCCAAAGTGGGTTATTCTTGTTGGTTTTGAATGTCCATGAAAACAAATTCTGGCTACACTTGTAAACTCAGTGAAGTAATTACTTTCTTCCCTGTTTTTATTTCACTCACCATTTTCTTCAGACCAGCTATCGTTATATTCGATGGCACTGACATTCTTAATTTTAATTTCGATGAATCTTTGTCTTCAACTTGAACATGGATCCTGCAAATGAGAAGGGAAATCATCTTTTTCATGAACGTGAATTCCAAGGTAATATGAAAGATGAAATCACCATTTAAAATGTCATTAGTTTGCAAGCATTTCTCAATATTGTCAGGCTTTAAAAAGAATTATATTGCCCTTTGTGACCTACTTGGTTGGCTTTTTACTAAATGTTTTTTTAAAACCATTTTTTAAGAAAGAAAACAAGTTTAATGAATCAAAATATATGTACGGTGTAAAAGCATTAAAAACTGAAAAATATCAGCCCAAAGAGGAAAAAAAATCAACACCAAAAAAAAAAAAAAAAAGAAGAAAAAAATCGACCGACCGTCCGACCCAGGTGTTGGTAGGCACCTAAAGGGCAATACAACATCTTTTTTGTGAGGCCTCATCAAAGGTACATATATGTCAAAGGATAGAAATTGTTTCAAATCCTTTTAAAGGTAAAGACCAGTATTGGAAATGCCCCAATTTCAAAAAATGAAATGGAAGCTCTCATTACCAATCATGTGAAAGAAATTGTTTTGACTAATACATGATGATAAAAAATTTGCCGGGAAACCGCCTACTAATTCATATATTTGGTAAATTTGTTTCTCTCATGGTCTGTGAGAGATATAGGGTAGTCCCATATACATCTTTCTGTGTATAGTGCTTGTAACTTTACGAAGAATGGGCCAAATTTCTTATCATTTTGATGATTCCAGAACCTTGCAGATGCTAGATGCTAGATGATCAACCTTTTCTGATCGATTCCACAACGTTTCTTTCACAATGCAATCGCATGACCATAACTGGTCTTTACCTTTAAGTTTGATGATAATTTTTTAGTGAAATATCAATTCACATCAGTTTACTTAGTCATTCATTGATGTCTTGAACTTATCATTGTCTATAGACTCATAATTCACAACCATCCACATTATCCAGTAATAAAAATATATATCTTATGAAGACAATAACAACTCTGAAAGAGATGCTTAGTGTAAAATAACCATGTGAGAATTAAATTTCATTATCAGGTAGCTATAACAGTATTCCAAATGATTGGGGTTAGATCTTCTAACATTTATCATTTTTGCAATATCAAATAATGGGAACTAATCTACAAACGGATATTTTCACTAAAAACTTGATAATTTCCATGAAGAAAAATTTGACATTCAAGTCCAGCTATCGTTACATTGGATGGCACCAACATTCTTAATTTTAATTTCGATGAATCTCCATCAATGTAAGCTTTAAAAAAACATCAGAAAAATATTGGAAATATGGAGGACCATTCAAAGAAGATCGAAGATGGGGAAAACAAATGAAGATAAGAAAAGATAAGAAAAGATATAAGAAACTAGTAGGGGCACTAACGATATTTCACTGCTTGAAGAAACGGTAGTACCAGCTGTTTCAACCAAGATACTGAGCTTTGGTTGGTGATTAGCGAGGTTCCCAGCCCAGATCTCAGCGTTCTTCACATCACCAGCCTGTATTGATGACTTTAAAAGTTCTACCATTGTTTCTGTTGATGGAAGAATATGATACATGAATTTAGAATGGCACAAGGTCAATTTACATTGTCTTTTGTGGGCAGTGAATTTTGGAATAGACCTATTAATGTCAGATTAACACGGTATATTTCGGAATTCTGTTACAAGTCATTTGTTGAAAAAAAATCATGAATGAAATATCTAGTTAAATAGTCTGCATATATACACAAATTATATTGTACATTATCAGTTTGTATATTGTAAGACATTGTTAAGTATTCTTATTTTTGTAAAGTATCGATACTAAATTCATTATTCTTGATTTGTTACGTTTTTTTGAACTGATTTGTACCAAAATACTTTGTTTAATAGCTGTTTAAGAGGTTAAAGGCTCGACTAGCATATGTGCTGTTATCTGGCCCCTCTTACCAATCAATAGTTCTCTTCTATATATGTAAACACATTGTATGAAACACTGTATTGCTGTTGGTAAATCAAAAATCAAAACAAATCAAATAAGAACATTGCAAACTGACGAAGGAAATTAATAGCGCTTCCACTGCATCTGTCAGTAGTAGTAATCATTCTACACATCCCTAGCCAGGGCAGTTGTTTGTATTAAACCAATGTTCAGTATGGGTCGATCACTTCCAAAAGTCAATTCATCCCATTTCCTTGGAATTGTATGCAAATTTAACAATCCTTACTTTGTACCATGAAACAAGGTGAATATGAACACAAATTATATGTGTTCTGTGGGTTGATGCAGGCCCTTGTAATTATTTTATTAATGATAAATCAAGCATTAAAAGAGTCTCCTTTATTACTAGGCGGAGAAAATTATGTTAAAAAATTATCAAATGGGGAGGGGGGGGGGGGGGTGAGGCAGATATACATGTATGTATATATATATATATATATATATATATATATATTTGTTCCCCAAGTGTGTCCCCATTACCCAGTTTTGCATTAGATCAGGGCCTTCCATAACTGCTCTAATGAAGTATCATAACCATTACATTCTGAATTATCTCATTCCCTTTAACTTGAAAGAAGGTGTAGCATGATGAGTCTACGTATCTTTCCTGTGGCTTGACTCGGGGCCAATCGAGTATGAAAAGACTACGCGACCGAAGTATTCACGTGCATGCAACATACGCAAAACCAAAGCGTGAGGAGAACTTCGGTCTGTTTCGCGAACGCTATAGTACGCGCTGACTGTTAATCAAGTCCTTTCGTTTACGTGCAGTTGTCCAAAAGAAGTGGTAGATGGCGTTAACCAGTATTTGCCATGCTACACCCCTTTAATACAGGAACCAAAGGCTATCGTAGGCAAGAGTTTACGAAGGTATCGAGTGAACTTACGGATATCAATGTCGTCTCCTCCATTGCCCATAGGTGTTGACGTAGGAACCCTGTCGTTCTCCATCTTGGATCCTTTCTTCTTGATCGTTGCTCCTCCTCCTCCTCCTCCTACATCATTGGATCCCTGTTGGCCTGGAAACCTGGCTGCCATTGGAGCTACTCCTCGTTTACCTGGATGAGGGGGGGGGGGGGTGGGTGAGGAATAGACAAAATGAGGTTTAATGGATTTCAGGAAGTACTGGAGATGAGGTAGGCTACTCTCCTGTAAGCAGTATCATGTTGGAGTCACTGGAAAGTGCTGTAAGAACGTGGATTGCTGAATAGATTGAAGAATACATACGGTAGTTAAAAGAATACCCTGACTTTGAGAGCCAGAAAGACATTAAGTCAATGCAAAATGTCCTTCTGGCTTTAAGCAGAATATAAAATGATACGTCAAGTTTGAACTACCTCATTAAATTGTGCTTATCTGAAAGAACGATTCAAGTTTGAGCCTTTTAATGGAATAATATATTTTTTCCAAATTTGGTCCAATGCCTATCAATTGACATTGATCTACGTCACTAATAAGTGTGGTAGACGTACTGATATAAACAATTGCAACTACATTGGAATTGCATAGCAATCTGTCCAAAACATTAACTATTACGTTTTAATATGCACATACTCAGATGAATTATTAAAGATAAACTAAAAGATACTACCTGACACTAGCAAAAATCATTACTGATAGTTTTTCTTTCCTTCAATAATATATTTTGACAAGAATTCATGATAATGAAATTAGGCTGTTTACTAGAATATGACGGACATTATATGTGTGAGGTTCATGTATGGAATAAGTTCAATGTTCTGTTCAAGTGCTGCTTCGATAAACGACTGTACATGACAACGTGAAACAGTATAGCATAAACAACTCAAGTGGACTTTGGCATTCAATACTTTTAAAATGCTCATCTTATCTTACCTACTTGAGCATTCAAACCTCAAGTGTTCTGTTTTATTTCAATTTTCCTTCTCACTTCCTGAGCAGGCAAATGATTGTAACAACAGTCAAACCTATCTATTAAGGCTACCCAAGGGAAACAAAAAAAAGTGACCACTATAGACAGGTGGCTTTTCTGGACATGTTCTACGATACCGGTACATATTTCTTCCTATGGTGGCCTCTATAGACAGGCTCTATAGACTGGTACATCTTATAGGGAAATATAGCCATCTACTATGTGAATGTATCTGGAAATAGCCTCTGAATCAAGTCATCAAGCAATAAGTACACTATTCAATCATATTTGTACATTTATTTGGGTGTTCCTGTTCTTTCGCCTAGCACATAACAGCGTCGCTATTGCAGTAACCCCACACAGTAATATCCTACAGGTGAACATTTTCCCCACACCATGTATCGTGGGGACAAAAAGTGACAGTTCAGACTGTATTCACATGCTTGTTTCAAATTGTGTGATAAAAACATAACCTTCAAATTTTCTGTTAACAGCCAAAAAAGCATTAACTAAATGCAGTCAAACCTGCTTTGGTGACCACCTGTCTACCAAGACCACATACCGGTACTTATTTTGTTTTCCTTGAAAATGGTTTCTCATTGAAACATGTACTAGAAAAGGAACCTGTAGATAAAGACCACCTGGATATAAAAACAACCTTTCTTGTCTCCCTTGGGTGGTCTTTATAGCCAGGCTTCACAGTAGTATCAATTCATATAGAGAAAATGCCCTTCTGGCTCTCAGCAACCAAAATAAGATAAAAGTGTGAAAAAAACTGACTTGACATCCCGATTCGTCCTTGGACATTGACGGCACCGAATATCAATTGGAATTGCTGTCCCTCGTCCAAGCTGCTGAAAAGCATCAAATGGCGACTGCCGTCTCTGTTCAAGAGGAACTCAAACTCCTGCGCTGTGTGATTCAGAACAGATATGTCATCTAAATTTTCGCTGATGATAGGTTGAGATCGTGGCTGAAATGCAAAAGAATCAAAATGAAAATGAAAATTACTCTGGCACTTACATTTCCATGTAAGAAATTTACACGTAAGACTTGCTTTTTAATGATGTATTGCAGAGGTGGTGAAATGTAAATTGTATATATTTAAGTCTAGTAATTGACTAGTAGTAATTTTCTTATTTCTGCCTGTTTTTGCACGACATTTTCTTAATTTGATAACATGATTATTCTCTTATACTTACTCAAAAGAAACTCTCTTTTTTAAACTTTATTATTGGTAATAATATTACCATTATTATGAAGAAAAAAACTACTATCTCTGGCATAAAAGACCTTCTAAAGAAGTGGAATTTGATATATTTGCAGCAAACATGTGTATTTGTTCTCTTTGATCCCCATTTCCCTTCTCTCCCTCCCCCTATCCCCCTCCCCCCTCTCTCTCTCTCTCTCTCTCTCTCCCTCTCTCTCTCTCCCTCTCCTATTTCCCTACTGTTTATCTTGTTCGCTCTCTTCTCCTTTTTTTTCCAATGAGGTTGCTTACAGATGCAAATAAAAATTTCAAAACTTCTTTATTTTAGAGACACAAAGTTCATTAAGGATACTTACTCTATCATCATTGTGCACTACACGGATGGAGTAGCCCCCATGCTTGTGATTAACAAGCTGTAGCTTGACTGGGGCATTTAGGAGACCCCCATCATAACCGTTTTTAGCCGGTGGGCTACCGTTTGGATCCCGCCTCCTAGTCTCCGGGTAACTGCTTAAGAAGCCTCTTCCTGAGAGAACGACAGTTATCCCAGATGTGTGGCCTCGTGAAAGACTTGAGTGCATTATACGACGGTCAGTATAGCAGATGGATCACGCTTCGTAAAGAAATTGGCAACCTCCTGAATGTGTTTCTTTTTTTGCGTTAATATCTTGGGTCTTGTTTTTATCAGGCCTAGCTGATTTTTGAAATGTTTGTCAATATTCCTGGTACAACAAGTCTCTCTAGATTCGTAAGTTCATAAAGAAGGTGTAATAAGGATGATTGAGAGAAAGTTTAAACACCAATCTGTATTGCGAATTGGATTTTTCAAATCTGAAGGGACAGGGGAAGGCAAGGGAAGGGCAGGGAAGGCAGGGAAGGCAGGGAAGGCAGGGGAATTTGTCGAGACTGATTTCCTACAGGTAGTTTGATGGTAACTTGTTGTTGGTAGAAGGGACTTCTCATATAATTATGTTGCCAACAAATGCTCTTCACCTGCATCAAAATAAAACAAAGGATACGATTGATTGATTAACACACTCTCTCAAAGAAGAATAAATTAGAAATGGATCTTTGACATATATATCATATGAGTATTTTATACGAAAAAGCATATTCAAGCATGAGAACATTTACAAAGAAGGGCCACAAAATTGGAGAACTTGTCAAGTTCAAATTCGACGCCAACCCACCTGTTCATGATCCGGCCAACTTTACACGCAAGGAAGGAATTTGGAAATAAATTTAGAGGCTGACACCTGACTTCAGAAGAATTAGTAAGACTTCCACAGTCCTTTTCATTACTACACAAACACTCAAGAAAGAAAGATTGCTGACAGTCCTTTTCAGGATTCCCCAATTCCCCCCCCCCCCTTTCTCTCACTTGGTGCAACCGTAAGCCTACTGTATATCCATATATTGCTTGCACAGATAAAGACATGTATTTCTTCTGCAGTATTGGTATTTTTGTGTCCTTAAGTGCAACATATGACATATTTGCTTAAACTTGAAAGCATTTACAAGCTCTCTCTCTCTCTCTCTCTCTCTCTCTCTCTCTCTCATTTCTCTCTCTCTCATTTCTCTCTCTCTCCCTCTCTCTCTCTCATTTCTCTCTATCTCTCTATCTCTCTCTCTCATTTCTCTCTCTCTCTCTCTCTCTCTCTCCTAACAATTAGCTTTGACAGAACAGTAACAGATTCAAACACTGCATATGATTCACATGCATCCAGTACTAGTATGCATGTGTAGTTTATTAAATGCACTTATATGACCTAGAGAACACCATCCTATGAATGAATATAAACAGAAAGCAAAACATATTTTTGTCCTTACCATTTTGCATGAGTTGGTACATGCACCTATTGTCTTTATAGCCTTAGCGTATTTAAACACGTGTTCACCTGTTTTACACATTCACGCACCCTTAACCATCAGATAATGAAACAATTATTGCACAGTCATCCTGGTGGTTTTCACAAACCATGGCATGAAATATTATTTTAAAATTGCACAATCATCTCGACTTCTGCAGAGGATATATATACTGATTTTTCTGGTTGGTGCAATATCCTTTGTACGATGACAAATAATTAATTAAAATCTATTCACCTCCACAGAATTTACACACAAATAATAGCACATTGAATCATGGAACTGGAATGCAACTTGGAATTCATTTAAAAACATTTTTAGCCCAATAAAGTCAGTTGTGTTGCTAATATTGTAATAACATAATTTATATGTATAGGTCTAGTATAGTCCCACATCTTTCAATTTCGGCGCTAGTGTAGTTCCGTATCCATTTTTTTTTAGCAGTTTAATATCCATTCTTAGCAAATGAATTTTAGCCCAATTTTTTACTAATTTTGATCATAATCATATAGATCTATTGCATTTTCAACCTGAATTTGGATCACATCCGACATCAGAAAACCTCCGTTTAGGAGCGACGACGTCAGCATCAAAGCCCTACACGAAGGTTTCCTGATGTCGGATGTGATCCAAATTCAGGTGGAAAATGCAATATAGACCTATGATTATGATTAAAATTAGTAAAAATCAGGCTAAAATTCCTGTAGGACTGCTAAAAAAATTGGACAGGGAACTACACTAGCGCCTCAATTTCCTAGTCAATGCAATGGTAGCCCTCAACAGTCCCAATCAACTGCTTGGCAACAAAAATGTCTTTTATCATAGACAGTCTTCATTATTTCATAGACTTCAACCCCACCACATACAGCTAGTTAGGCTACATCAGTAAGTGAATGCATTGACAATGACATGATAGACTAGAGGTCTATGCCAGTACAGCGTCCATGATCTGTGTGGCCACGCACGTCCACTGCACTGTACTGGGCGGTTGGGCACTGTCTTGCCAGGTGCATGGTCGTGTGCGTGCTAGCTAAACTGACTATCAAAATAAGAGAAGTCTACTTACATATTTTCTTGATCTATGATGATACCTAATAATGATGAATCATCGCAGCACCAAAAAATTGTGTGTACAACCCGAAAATAAAGGAAATTGCGAAATATACTCGATGCGTCATTAATTCACATAGACCCTAAGCGTGAAATGGGAATTCCCCGACCTGCACGCAGACGATGACGACAATGTCATAGGTCATCTGGTATTGTTGCGATTGAGTTAATAGAGTGTTTTCCTAAAGTGATCGTGAGAATATGGTTATACCTTTTGATAGATAAATTCGATATGTTCTCAAAACGTTATTGATCAATATTCATAGTCAAATGGATCGATCATTAGATTTATTCTATCATTATTTTCACAATCATTTCATGAAAAGAGCTTCACAAACCAATCAGGGAAATTGGAGAGATATCTCCCGGAGTGACACAAGCAGGGCCTACAGGGACTAATTTTACTTTAAAAAATGTATAAAAAAATACAACAACAACGAATACAATTAAAAAAGAAACACAAGTGCTTGTGACATTTGTTAATGATAGCTGTCTAATAGAATCTTCCGGTTGAAACGAGAAATGAGTGATTTTGATCAGGCGCGGATCCAGGATTTCTTAGGGGAGGGGGCCCAACTTCTTTTTTTTTTTTGCTCCCGAAAATTTGAAAATCGCGCCGGCCGAAAAGTCGCTCAGTGGGGGGGGGGGGGGGGGGGGGGGGGGGTGGTACAGAGCACCATTTTTGTTTTTGTTTTTTGTTTGTTTGTTTGCTCCCGAAAATTTGAAAAACGCGCCGGTCAAAAATTCGCTCAGTGGGGGGGGGGGGGGGGGGGGGGGGGGGGGGGGTAGTGAGCACTTTTTTTTTTCAATTTGCACCCCCCCCCCCCTTGAGCGCCAGGGGGGGGCCCAACCCCCAAAAAAGGTAAAAATCACGTGATTTTACATGATTTTTTTCTCAAGGGGGGGGGGGGGCCGGGCCCCCCGGGCCCCCCCCTGGATCCGCCACTGATTTTGATGATGATAACCATAATACCTGTAACCTATACTTTGAGGCCTGTAAGAAAAGAAAGAGGAATATGAATGATTCAATTAATTAATTAATCAATAGATTTATTCATTTATTTATTAATATTGATGCTGTTATTATCATTATTGTCATCATTATGATGATTATCATTCTCATTATTATCTTGATTCTTCTTATCATCATCATTATTATACATATTGTTATCATTACTATTATTATTATTATTATAATTGTTCAGTATTGAGAGTTTGCCTATGGGGGTTTAAATAATGCACTCTGCAGCGAGCTCATGACGTCGTGCCTATAAAAACTTGCATACATTAAGTGACTAGCTAGAATTGTTTTGTTTTTTGTTGTTGCTCATAATATCACCACTAGTAGCTACGTGGGGTATGGAAACAGAGTTAGTGCTTCCAAGTCGGATTACCAGGGGGAATGAAAAAGAAAAATTATAGCTAAGAAAGAAAAAAAAGAGCTTTATAGAGAAAAGGGAAAAGGAATATCAATAAAATTATAATTAGAAAAAAATGTGGAGTTGTCGTGGTATAGTTGATTCTCATTTAAATGGGTTCGACTCCAGACCCGGCAATTTCCTTTTGGCACGAACTTCATCCACCATTTGCCATTCTCCAGCACCCCGTCGTGCGATGGAGCGCGCAGCTCGAGTCTTTGAGCTAGTGTAATAATGTTGGAGTATACCAGTCCAGTGAAATATACGGTTGCATAAGAAGCCACCATTATAATTATATGGTTATTGCCCCCCCCCCCCCGGCCCCCCGCCCTATCTCCTCAATGAATTCAATGCCCCCTTAATGACTGGACCAGTTGCACAATATTTCAGTGATTGAGGGGCCACGAATGTCATGAAGACATTCTTACATAAATTATGTGAGGGAACAAAACAATCGAGCCTAGGAGAGGTCTGCAGGTCTGAGAGTTTGCTGGGATCGAGATGAATGGTGAGAATATAATTATAGAAAGTCCCGTCCTTGGGAGGCGGTTTTAGTAAACCTGGAAACAAAAACGATGAGCAAGGAAAATGAAAAACAAAAGAGTGGAAGAAATTCACTTTTTTTGGGGGGGGGGGGGGGTTGAGGGTATACCCTTTTCACTTAAAAAATCAATTAAAAAAAAAACAAAGAAATGGAGGCGCGATATAACTATAGCTCAGTCGGTAGAGCAGTAGTCTCGTAATCCGGTGACCCGGGTTCGAAACCAAGGCGATGCGCAATAGCATCGCCTTGGATATAGCGGATTATAGTGTCCTTTGGTAAGGCATTAATCATTTACCAGGTCCCTCGGAGAGGACCTAAAGCCGTCGGCCGTCTGGTTGCTTACTTACAAGCATTAATTTTGTGCTTTCTTAGCAGTCAGGTGAAATAACTACCACCACCACCACCAAGAATGCATTTCTTCAAAAATTATCTGATGATAGCACCTCAAACCCTTGCAGCAACCCCCGATCGAGCGCAGCAGCGGCAGTACCTCAAAAAAGAAAAGAAAGTGAAGAAGAAAGAGGAAGTTGGAGGAGGGGGGGGGGGGATTCCTGCCCCACTGCTTTGGGCGAAAATATATTTTCTTTAGGAACTTGATTTGGGGGAAAAGGGGGCACCTTTACACAAAGGGTAACCGTAAATAGAAAACAATACCAATTTCAGGAAAAGATATATACCCTATAATTTAGCAGGGAAGATCTTCAAGATTTTCTCTTTACGTGGTCCAAGATGAAAGATGCTTGAGCATCATACTTTGCAGTTGTGGGCGATGGCCTGAAGATTCATTCATGAGCTAGCGAAGCGAGCGAGCAAAATATATTTAAAGATTTATGACTTGGCATTACGACCGATAAGATCCATTAGTGGAAACAGTCAATCCTGTTAGGGTTTTAAATGGAGGCTTTACTACTTGAGCCAGAAGGGTTTAGACCACCCAGGGAGCCAGCGAGGTCACTGTGACAGGTGGCTATCTCATTAACTCAGCTCTCATTAACATAAGAAAAAGAGGATCATGGCACCGATTTGGGAAGTTTTCTATATAGAGGGAGCAAGTAGCTACAAGTAGGACAGTGTGCCTCTTAGCTTAATAATAATGAAAGAATGAATAAAACCATAATTATATTACAGTGGCGGATCCAGGGGTGGGCCGAAACGGCCGCGGCCCCCCCTATTGGCGGCGCAAAAAAATTGAAAGAGGGGGAAAAAATGGGGGGAAAAAGAAGAAGATAAAAGAAAAGAGAACAAAAAAGTAAAGAAAAGAGAAAGAGTTCAAAAAAGAGGAAAGAAAAAGAAGAGAGGAGCCGGGGAGAAAGAAAGAAAACGAAATGGCACTAAAAATTAGTGACAGTAACGACGAATAAGGGAAAGACAAGGGGAAGGGGGGTGCGTGAAGGCGGATGCATTGAGGGGAGGGGGGAGGGGTGACTGGCCGTATTCTTATTTTTAGGTTATGCGAAACTGAGTCGAAATTATGCTTCTTTTCAAAAAAATCTTAGCATGCTTGTTTATGTTAAGCCGGAGTGCATGAAAAGGTTAGTGTAGAAACACTTCTGAAAAGGCCGCGCCCGGCCCTTCCAAAGAACGGCAGAATGGTAATCTATAAATTATGGGGTCATTCTTGATGGCTCGGGAGTCGTTAAAAGGAGGGGGCCGGCCCTACTAAAATGGTAGTGACGGTAACGATGGATAAGGGAATAAGGAGGAAGGGATGCACATGCAGGCGCGTACGCAGGGGGGGGGGGGGGGTGTCGAACCCCTCTCAAATTTTTGTCAAGTTGTCAAGTTGGTCCTGATGTGTATAATGCGTAGACCAGGGGTTCTCAAACTTTTTCTTTGACGGTCCAGAAGCGATTTCTATGAAAGCTGTAAGGTCCGAAATAACACTTGTATACTGAAGATAATGAGGCTTGTTTTTGGTCTATATCTGATCCAAGGAGAATTGTTACAGTTTTAAAAAAACAGAACCGCCAGTGCTTCCACTCGTTTAAATAGAGTTTCCTGAAAAATAACATCCAATATCCTGGAATTTGAAGGAATGTTCTTAAAATTTTCAAAATGCCTCTTACGTGGATTTCTTATTTTGATGAATCGCTATGGCGTTTTAATATATATTAATTATTGAGTGGGCTTATTTTACTTTCTAATGGATCCATACAACATGGCAGAGCTTGAGGGGCCTGGCAGAGCCTTTTCAAGAGAGAAATTGTCTTTAGGAGAAAAAAAGAGGTTATTTCTAAAATGAAATGAAAGGGTTATTGACTTTCAAGAGAAAAAATTGTCTATAAGAGAGGAAGAGAGGTTATTTCTAAAATGAAATGAAAGGGCTCTTGTCAAATAGCCCTTTCATTTCATTTTTTCTCTCGAAATAAACTCTCTTTCTCTCTTATAGACAATTTTATGAGATGGAATCTTCAATCTGAAGCCTTTTTGTGCTCTTTGAAAATGGCACACTGAATGGGGCAGTGCAATTTAAATTCCAAGGGATGGATTAGAGTTTTTATCGCTCTTGAAAGTCAAATAGCCCTTTCAATTCAGAAATAAGGCTCTCTTTCTCTCTTATAGACAATTTTATGAGATGGAATCTTCAATCTGAAGCCTTTTTGTGCTCTTTGAAAATAGCACACTGAATGGGGGCAGTGCAATTTAAATCTCAAGGGATGGATTAGAGTTTTTATTGCTCTTGAAAGTCAAATGTCCCTTTCATTTCATTTTAGAAATAAATTCTAATACATTCCTTGATATTTAAATTGCGCTGCCCCTATTGTGTCCTCTTTTTAAAGAGCACAACAGAGCCCTCAGATTAGGCAGCAAGTAGCAAAACAAACCCGTAACACTGGACACAACATTCAATGGGAAGATGCCCACATCATTGAGTTTGAAACGCACTTCTGGTCAAGAATGGTAGAAGAAGCATCTGCATAAAAAGGATGAATCCTTCACTGAATAGGGATTCTTGCTATACACTTTTACCTTTGTGTAAATAATAAAAGGTCCACGGGCGTGGTTGTTAGAAGCTTAAACTACATAAAACTCTCTCCAATTTTGCAGGGGAGAGCCTTTGTCGGGAGTCTTTAATAATAAAAGGGATAAATCCTTATTCTTGCTATATGTTAC